TCCGGGAACCTATTCGTGGCCGAGGCTTGTTTTTCCAGAGATACCCCTCTCGATCCTTGCTCAGCGTCTCGCATGGTAGCACGACGCGATTGCGGCAGGGAGAACACACGGGCGGGGCGGAAGCGGAGGCGGAGAGAGAGACGGAGGCGGAGGCGAGGATGGAAAGCAAAGATGCCGTAGGGAGCGGGGCAGGAGGTGGAGACGAAGGATTGGGGGATTGGCCACGCGCAGAGAGAGGGGGGTAGGGGTAGGGGGGAAGATTTCTTAGAAGCACCCCTGCTTCTGAGAAGGCGCGGGCCTTGTCCCTAGGTGTAGGGCCAGCGCCCTCTAAGAAGCAGCCTCCTTCCACGAAGCCTTCCCCCCTCCCCCTTCCCACTTCTGCGCACCGCCAAGGATAGCTGGCTGCACCGGCGGCCCGGCGGAGGGAGGGAGGGAGGGAGGGAGGGAAGGCTGGGAGGGAGGAGGGAGGGAGGGAGGGAGGGAGGGGAGGGAGGAGGGAGGGAGGAGGAGGGAGGGAGGGAGGAGGAGGAGGAGGAGGAGGAGGAGGAGGGGAGGAGAGGGGGAGGAGGAGGAGGAGGAGGAGGAGGAGGAGGAGGAGGAGGAGGAGGAGGGAGGAGGAGGAGGAGGAGGAGGAGGATGGGAGGAGGAGGAGATGGGAGGGAGGGAGGGAGGGAGGGAGGGAGAGGGAGGGAGGGAGGAGGGAGGGAGGGAGGGAGGGAGGGAGGAGGGAGGGAGGGAGGAGGAGGAGGAGGAGGAGTAGGAGGAGGAGGAGGAGGGAGAAGGGAGGAGGGAGGAGGAGGAGGAGGAGGAGGAGGAGGACGGAGGAGGAGTAGGAGGAGATGGGAGGAGGGGGGAGTGGGCGGGAGGGGGGAGTGGCCCTGGCTAACCCAGGCCCAGGGGCGCGCGCTCCCGACCCCCGAGGCTTGGCCGCCGCCCTCTTCCTGGCGGAGCGCGCGCCTCGGGAGCGGAGGGCGCGAGACTTCGGGGGCGCACGAGACTCGAGGACTCCCAGAGCTCCCCATCGCCTGGCCTCTCGAAGGCTTGGCACCGCTCGGACGTGTGCATTTTTTCCTCGGCGAGGACCATGGAGGAGCATCCTGGAGGACTTAGCGAAAAAAGCACGCACGCAATCGAAAAATACACGGGGAATGGACGTCCGAGCGATGGCAAGAAGGAGAGAAGACGCTATAGGCTTAAACTGTTGGCGCTCCGCGCGGATTTCTTGCATCCGCGGCGGGCCACCCTGGCAGCGCCTGCGGCGCCGCCCCTGGCGCGCTCCGCGCGCCACGAAGGGGGGTCCAGCGCAGAACCAAGAAATCTGCGCGGAGCGCCAAAAGGTTATGTATATGGCGATTTGTTTTCTTCCTCTAGCCTCCCCGTCTGCTGCACGGGTCTAGGCCTCCCAGATGGGGTCGGAGTGGGTAGAGTCGGAGGATCGTGCCGCATCGCCGATGCATCGGCGATGCACCGGCGATGCGGCCTGATGTGGGGCCCAATTTTCTTCGCGCCGACGTCGCCGATGCATCGCCGATCTCGCCAGCGCATCGCCGATGCATCGGCGGTGCATCGCCGATGTATCGGCGATGCTGCGAGATCCTCCGAGCCCGTCTACTCGAACCCCATCTAGGAGGTCTCTAACAGGGCGACCGGCACCCTGGAGGGCAGCACGCATGTACGGGGCGCCCGCGGTCTGGGCAGGGGTCGCTAGGGGGTCTGCCGACCTATACAGAGTCAGGGCACGGATGCACCAGCTACGTTTTGAACAACGGTGGTGTGAGCTCGGAGACAGACTCTTGCAGAAGCCGTGCTGGGCGTTTTGTGCGCTCCGCGCCCGTCCCCTTCGACGGGATAGCTTTGCTGAGGTGGTGTCCGTCGTCCGTCCGTTTTGATCTGCCGACTGGGGGCTCATCCTCTAGATCGAAGATCGGGCTCCGGGGTTTAGGCCAGTATGGCTGGATGGATACTTGGGAGGGGGGTGGGGGGGGGCCACGGGGGAGGGGGGGGGGGGGGCTGGGCTGGATGGATGGGGTGGTTGGCGGAGGTGGCTGTCAGGGATATCTTAAAAGCAAGGCGGGTCACTTTGCAGACTTATTCGTGGGATTTGCCCCAGCAAGGAGGATGGCAGGACAATGTACATATGTTTATATATATATATGTACATGCATATATACATATACATATATATATATAGATAGAGATAGAGAGAGAGAGAGAGAGAGAGAGAGAGATTATGCCATGAGAAGCATAGGGAGGAGGAGGAGGAGGAGGAGGAGGAGGAGCAGGGAGGAGGGAGGAGGGAGGAGAAGGAGGAGTTCTCCTTGGGCATGCATTCTGGTGGAAAAGATGCGCCAGTCACCCAGTCACCAGCGAGTCAAGGGTCACCCAGTCACCCGGTCATGCAGTCACCCGGTCACCCCGTCATTTGGTCACGAAGTCACCCGGTCACCTGGTTACATGGTTACCCGGTGCCCCGGTCATGCAGTCGCGCGGCCCCAGTCATCCGGTCACCCAGTCACCCGGTCATTTGGCCACCTGATTACCCAGTCATTGGTTCACCCAGTCACCCGGTCAGCCAGACCTGGGGGGGACAGTCAAGAGGGGAGGGAGGAGGAAGAGGAGGAGGAAGAGGAGGAGCGCGGAGAAGGAACACGAAGAGGAGAATGAGCAGGATGAACAGAGGGAACATAAGGGATGTGGATGACTATGAAAATGATTTCGACGATGACGTTGATGATAATGATGGTGCTGCTGATGATGATAGTGATGACGTGCTGTCGCTGATGATGATAGTGATGATGACCATGATGCGGGTGATGATCGTGATGATGCTTCTGTTGTTGACTATGACCATGGCGATGATGATGGTGATGGTTGTGATGGTGATCATCATGATGATAATGCTGATAATGATGATGATGATGGCGATGATGATGATGATGATGCTGATGATGATGATGATGATAATGATGATGATGATGATGATGATGATGATGATGATGATGATGATGGCGGTGGTGGTGGTGATGGTGATGGTGATGGTGATGGCGAAAGTGGTGATGATGGTGATAAAGAGGAGGATGATGGTGGTAGTGGTGGTGGAGGTGATGATGATGATGATGATGATGATGATGATGATGATGATGATGATGATGGCGATGATGCTGCTGCTGCTGATAATGCTGATAGTGAGGATAATGGTTATAGTGATGATGATGATGATGATGATGATACTGATGATAATGTTGATAATGATCGTAATGATGATAATGGTGATGATAATGGTGATCATGATGATGATGTTGAGGATTATGATGATGATGATGATGATGATGATGATGATGATGATGATGATGATGGTGATGATGACGACTATGATGACGACGATGATGATGATGAGGTTGAGGATTATGATGATGATGATGATGATGATGATGATGATGATGATGATGATGATGATGACGACGACGACGATGAAGAGGAGCAGGGAAAAGGAGGCAGGAAGAGGACAACGAGCAGGAGAAGCAGAAGGAACAGGAGGGATGGGCTCTGGCAGGAAGCGCAGGAGGAGCAGCAGGAGGAGGAGCTGGGCCCCGGACGCATCCGGATGCATCTGGTGAGTTGTCCTGATCAGGGACGTGCAGTAATTCGAAAGGGAGCACAAAAAAAGAGGAAGAAACCACGGCATGGAAATAGATGTTCGACGGTCCGCGCAGATTTCTTTGATCTGCGCTGGACCCCCCTCCCTGGCGCACGTAGCGCGCCAGGAGCGGCGCTGGAGGCGCCGCCAAGGGGGCCAAGCACAGATCCAAGAAATCCGCGCGGACCGTCGAAAGTTTACGTTTGCGACGTTTGTTTCTTCTTCCACAAAAACATGGGGACATAGCGACTCTTTCGAAGGAAAGGGAAGAGAGATGAAGGACGGGGGGGAGGATGAGGAGGGAGGATAACGAAGAGGAGCAGCAGCAGCAACATAGAGGAGGAAGGCGATCAGAAGGAAGAGACAGCATGAATCATGAAGCGAGGTAAGCACTTAGATAGGAGGAGTAGGATGGGGATGGGGATGATGAGCAGGGAAAGGAGGTGGGAGTAGGATGATAAGGACATGTTTGGTGTGCAGACGCCCACATTCTTGATAGTGCCCAATCTCTCGCGGGATGTGTTACTCGATTGTTTCGAGAGTGTCATATTTATATTCAGACTCGCTTCGGGGTTTCAACGCGCGCATGGTAAACACATGTCCTCTCAAATTGGGGGTCCCCGCAGCACCTGGACAGCATTCGGACGGCTACTGGAACGGTTGCCTCCGTCACTGAAAGGAAGTGTCGTGCGAAAGCTTCGTTCCTGAGTAGGTTGTCAGAACGTCTCGGGACGGAGCCTCGCTTTTTGAAGTTAATCGCATGACGCTCTCAGGACCCGTGCGGGACCCGTGCAGGACCAACAGCCTTTCAGGGGCGGCGTCAATTTGGAGGGTCCCGAAGTGATCTTGTGGTTTGGTGGTCTAGTGGTCTGGTGGTAGACGTGCCCCTCCCCCCTACATACGCCCGCATCATGTGCTACACAGCCCCCTCTGCTAGGCAAGCCCCTCCCCAAGCTGAATCATTGAAGCCCTCCTAGTGCTAGACAGGGCTGTTGCTTGATCACAAGCCTCTCTTTCTTCATAGGCCCCCTCTATCAGACAAGGCCCTCCACACGCTGATAAAGAAGCTCACTGGTGCTAGACGTGCTCCTCCTACACAGGTGCCCTCTGCTGCATAGCAACCTGTCCTAGACCAGGCCCCTCCCCTCGCTAACTGAGACACATCCTTGGTCCTGCCCCTTCTCCTGTGAACGAGGCCCCTCCCCAAGCTGATACTCACGCAAGTTGAGAGATGTTGTGGAGGCGCCAGTGGCGATAAGCGGTTGGCGAGAGAGCGTCGGCGCAGCCAAACGCACGCACGGCTCCTGGGCAAGTTGCTTGCAGCAGCCAGGTGGTAAGGAGAGATGTATTCATGTTGGGTGCGACCCGCTTGCGGTGAGGGTTGATGGGGTCCATGAGTCAATGCGCGACCTGTCTGCGGCAGTTCGCAACCAACACCCCCACCCCCCGTAGAACCTAAACAGCGGCGGGCCTGTGTGCCGCGGATCCGATTCGTCTCGGTCCCCCGATCTGTTTCAATTGTATAAGTTTACAAGAGAGGGGATATATCGGATCCGCCTTTAAACCAATATGGAAATCCGATCCACACTGTCTGCAATCGGATCCGTGCGGACGGAAGCCGGATCCACCGCAACACGAGTCCAAACCAAATCCGGATCCGCATCACCTTAGTGTGATTCGCCACGGTGTTTCCGATGCGCGCTTGCGGAAGAGATGGAACCATCATGTCCAGACTCAAGTGGAAAAAATGTTTCCTGGGGGTGCTAAACAATATGTGCCCCGCCCCCTATACAGTCCCCCTCTGCTGCTGCACAGCACCCTTTGTTAGACAGGGCCCCTCCCCAAGCTGATTACAAACGTAGTTCCTTGCTGCTAGACGCGCCTCTCCTCCTACAGGCCACTCCTGCTGCGCAGCACCCTCTGTTCGGCAGGCCCCTCCCCAAGCTGATTCAGAAAGCTCATTCAATACCAGATGCGCCCCTCCTCCTGCACAGCACCTTCTATGGAACAAGGCCTCCATCCAAACTGTCGTGTCCCTCCCCCTGCGCAGTCCCCCTCCCTGTTGTGCAGCGCCCTCTGTAAGAAAGGGCAGCTCCCCAATCTGATCAAAACCAAGTCTTTGGTGCTACACTGGCCCCCCCTGTTGTACAGACCCTCTGCAAGACAAGGCCCCTCCCCCCGATGATTAACGACCACTCCGTGGTGCCAGGCTTGCCCCTCGCCATGGACAGCACCCCCTGTTAGACAATTCCCCTCCCAAAGCTTCTAACAAGCTCCTTGGTGCTAGACTCGCCCCTCCTCCTACGCGGACCCCCTCTGCTGCACAGCACCCTGTGCTAGGCAAGCTCCTCTCCAAGCCGATTCGAAAAGCTCCTTGCATATCAGACGTGCCGTTCCGTTCCTTCTGTGCAGGCTGCCTCTGTCGCACAGCACCCTAGTCGAGACAAGGCCCCCTCCCGCTGTTAGACAAGGCCCCTCCCAAAGCTGACAAACAACTTCTTGGTGCTAGAAGCGCTCCACTCAAACGCAGGCCGAATCAACAAGTTCCTTGAATACCAGACGTGCCCCTCCTTCTGCACAGGCTTCCTCTGTTTTACAGCACCCTCTACGAGACAAAGCCCCCTCCCGCGGATGAAACGACCGTTCCGTGCTGCTAGACTTGCCCCTCGCTTTGCACAACACCCCTTCGTAGATACGACCCCTCGTAGACACGGCCCCTCCCAAAGCCCCTATGAGACAAGGCCTCCCCGCTCTGATTTGAACAACAGCTCCTTGGTGCGTGGCGTGCCCCTCTCCCTTCAAGGGCCCCCCCTGCTACACAGCGCCTTCTAAGACGCGAGGCCCCTCCCTGAGCTGATGCACGAAGCGATTCCGTGGTGTTAGACGCGTCCTTTCTCCTACGCAGGCCCCCCTCTGCTGCACAGCACCCTCTGTTAGGCAGGCCCCTCCCCAAGCTGATTCTGATTAAACATCAACTCCGTGGTCCTGGACTTGCCACTCGCTTTGCACAGCACCGTCTGTGAGACAAGACCCTTCCCACGGGAAGTGTAATTTAACAAAGAAGCGCAACTCCTTGGTGCTAGACGCGCCCCTCCACGCTGATTACACAACAATTCTGTGGTGCTAGTCGCGCCCCTCTCCCTGCACAGCACCTTATGTGAGACAGGGCCCCTCCCAAAGCAAAGTGAACTAAAACAACAACTCTTTAGTGCTAGACGCGCCCCTCCTCGTACGCAGGCTCCTCTCTGCTAGGCAAGCTCCTCCCCAAGCCAATTCAGACAGCCGTTTTTTCTATACAGGACGCCACACTCCTCCTGCCCAGGCCTCCTCTGTTGCACAGCACCCTTGACGAGACAGGGCCCCCTCCACGCTGATTACACAACAGTTCCGTGGTGCTAGACGCGCCCCTCGCCCTGCACAGCACCTTATATGAGACAGGGCCCTTCCCAAAGCAAAGTAAACTAAAACAACAACTCCTTGGTGCTAGACGCGCCCCTCCTCGTACGCAGGCCCCTCTCTGCCGATTCAAAAAGCCCTTTTGATACAGGACGTCCCCCTCCTCCAGCCTAGCCCTACTCTGTTGCACAGCACCCTTGACGAGACAGGGCCCCCTTCCCGCTGATTACACATCAATTCCGTGGTGCTAGAGGCGCCCCTCGCCTTGCACAGCACCTCATGTGAGACGGGGCCCCTCCCAAAGCAAATTGAACCAAATCAACAACTCCTTGGTGCTAGACGCGCCCCTCCTCGTACGCAGGCCACCTCTGCTGCCTGACACCCTCTGCTAGGCAAGCTCCTCCCCAAGCCGATTCAAAAAGATCCTTTGATACAGGACGTGCCCCTCCTCCCGCACAGACCCTCTCTGTTGCACAGCACCCTCTGTGAGATACGGCCTCGCCACTCCGATCTAAACGAGTCCTTGGTAATGGGCCAGAGGACCACTCTGTTGCACAGAACCTTCTGTTAGGCAAGGTCCCTCCCAAAGCTGATAAAGAAAACACTCTTTGGCGCTAGACGTGCCCCTCGAGATCCTCCTGCACCGGCCCCCCGATGCTGCACAGCACACTCTGCTGGGCAAGCTCCTCCCCAAGCCGACTCCAAAAGATCCTCTGGCACCAGCCGTGCCCACGCCGTCTGTACAGGCCTCCTCTGTCGCACGGCTCCCTCCATTAGACAAGGCCCCTCCCCGATCCGATTTGCTCGGGAGCTCTCTTGTGCCAGACGTGGTGCCCCTCCTCCTACACAGGCATCCTCTGATGTGCTCACCCTCTGCTGGGCGAATCCCTTCCCAAGCTGATTTCGAGAGTTCCTTTGATACTAAACGTGCCCCTCCTCCTGCACATCACCCTGTATTAGACAGGGCCTTTCTCAAAGCTGAGTTTAGAAAGATCTTTGGTGCTAGACGTGCCCCTTTCCTGTATCGGCCCCCTCTGTTTCGCAGCACCCTCTATTAGACAGGGCCCCTCCCCAAGCTGACTGAAACAAATTCATAATTCTGCACTGGCCCGTATGTTGCCCCGATCGAGGAGGAGGAGGAGGAGGAGGATCGAGAATCCAGAGTCGATGCGATGACTCGAAGGTGGAGAGAATGAGAGGACGATCAAAAACCGAGGAGAAGGATGAGGATCGAAGAGGATGAGGAGGATCCAGGATCGAGGGTCGAGAACCGAGGAGGTGGAGGTGGAAGAGGAGGGGGATCGATGAGGAGGTGGAGTAGGAGGAGGAGGAGGAGTAGGAGTAGGAGGAGGAGGAGGAGGAGGAGGAGGAGGAGGAGGAGGAGGAGGAGGAGGAGGAGGAGGGGGGGGATCGAGAATCGAGAAGGATCGAGGATCAAGAATACGGAAGGAGGATCCTGGAGGAGGACCGACGATCGAGAAGCGAGGATCGAGGAGGATCGAGGGGAGCGATGCCGAGGTGCGAGGAGGAGGGGGATGAGTTGCGACGAGTAGGATCGAGGACCGAGGAGAGAGACCAGGAGTAGGAGGAGGCCCCCTATAAATCCGCCTCCCTCCTCAACTCCTCACCCCTCACCACTCCTTCCATTCCACTCCGCTCCACTCCTCTCCACCCGGCTCTCGTTGTCTGCTTTGCAGTCTTTCTTGCTCCTCCTTCTTGTTCCAGCGTCCTCCACACTTATCTCCAATCAAGCTTACTCCAGCCCGACCCCACAGCGCCTTCCGAGCGCTCCCATCTCTTTGCCGGTATGCTCCATTCTACTTCCATTCCGTTCCACTCTGTTCCGCTAGTCGTCCCCGCTCCAAGGCACCACGCTAGACTCTGCTCATCCCTCGCCCTCTTCAGTACACTGGCCCACTATGATTATCTATTCCTTTTTTTCATCCCTGTTATGCACTCTCCTACCTCATCCTCCGAACTCCACCCCTCTCTTCTACTTCTCGCTCCTCTCCTGCATCTCACTCCTCTCTATCACTCTTACTCCTCCCTACTCTGGCCAAGTCTTCTGCACCGCAAGACTCTTCCATTCCGCTCTCATCCCAATGCGCTCGTCTCCATCGATCTTGGACGTGGCCAGGGGCCATTGGGCCCCGTGCACCAGGCACATAACACAAACAATAACAACAGCAAGAACAAGAACAACAACAAGAACAAAACCAAGAACAATAACAATAACAATGCTTTTCGTCCATCTCTCACGCGATCACCCGATTACCCGAGAACCCGGTCAACCAGCCAATTGGTCACTTAGGGTTACTGGTTGACAGTTGTCAACTGGTCACCCGGTCAATCGGTCACCAGCAGTCAGTCCGTCAAACAGTCAGCCAGTCAGCCAGTCATTGCTCTCTTGGCCCTTGCGCTAACGCCCGGTCGCCCCGTCATGCACCCGGTCAGCTGGTTAACCGGTCCGTGCTCTTCGTCCATCCTTCACGCGATCACCCGGTCACACGGTCAACTGGTCAATTGACTGGTCGAATCACCCGCGATCACCCGGTCAGGCGGTCAATTGGTCATTCGGTCATTTGGTCACCCAGTTAATCAGTCAGGCGGCCAATTGGTCATATGGTGAGCTTGTGAGACACTCTTTTGGTCAGCAGCTTGTGAGACTCTCATTTGGTCAGCCGGGCAACCAGTCAACCGCTCAACATTCTTGGCCGCTTCGTTCGCCACGATTGTCTGGTCACCCGGTCAGTGGGTCAATTTCGGCAACTATTCCGCCATCGTTCGGGCATGGGAGCGGTGGATTCATGACCGCGGAGCTTCATAAGCCCATTTCGTTTTCGCACCAGCTCACCGCCAGGTGCGCCGCAGTACTAGCTGGGCTAGGCTCGCTGGAGCTCAAGGACAGGGCTTTCACGATGGATCTGCTGATCGCCGCGTTCGTGAGCAGCGGCGTGCTGTTCGGGGAGGGGTCCGTGGCAAAGGCCAAACTAGAGGCTGCTCATTTGTTCTCTTCCCCTCTCTCCTGCCATCCGTCTCCCGTCTCCCTTCCCTCCCCTCGTCCGCAGACATCCCAGGGGCTGCTTCTCCTGCTTCTTTCCAATCCTGACGTTTTTCAATCATGTTGCCATTTGGGGGTGGCTTTCGGGCCTCATGGTTATCAAAATTTGATCCTGGATGGGACAGTGCCCCTTGGGGAGGGGGAGGGAGCCCTGCGGACTGGGCAGAATCACATCCTCGGACGATTGGCTCTATGCTCATTCCTTCCCTTCCATCCCTCCCCCTCTCATCCGCCCGCCTCGCGCATCCCCCAAAACTCCGAGGTCGTGATTTTTCACAGCGTCGACCCCAAGAGGTCTGAGTCCCTATTCCAGGACCGCGTTTTCATCCTGGGCAGTTCCCTGACGGTTCCGGAGCCGGGTGAGGGCTCCCAGAGGCCGAAGACAGGCAAAGCTTGCCGTCGCGTGTTTCACGACAGACGGAGGTGGGGCCCTTCCCCTCCCATGTTGCCCCTCCCTTCATCCACCCCCTTGGCTCTGGATCCGCCGTACTTTGTTGAATTTCCTACTTGCAGTCGTGTCCGACATGCACCCCAAGCGATGCGAGAAAGTAGGGCGAAAGCTTTCGCAACAGAGCAGCGTGGCGGATATTGCAGCGACGGCGAAGGAGGGTGGAAATCTACATCAAAGGCGCCTGAAAAGTAGGGCGGGAACTTCGCCCTACTTGCGAAGCCGCCCGAGAGAGCGGCGCGAGGCGGAGTCGGCCGCCGTCGTCGGCGGCAGGCCGCAAGAGGCGCGCAGGAGCACGCACCGCACGGCAAGCCTGATCCTCGGTGGCCTCCCCCCTCCGCTTCCTCCCCCCTCTGCCCCCGCCCCCCTCCGTCCTCCTCTCGTTGTTCGAGTCGCTGGCGAGTCAAGGCCCTCCACCCCCCCCTGGAGGCTCACCTCTCGGCCTGGCGGGACGCGGGCGGCTCGGCCCTCTCGAGGGCGATCTCGCCCAGCGTCGACTACGCCGAGTACTGCAGGATAGCCGGCTCCACCGGCGGCCTGGCGGAGCTTAGGCGGGTGCTGATGTGGGGTGGCCTACATTCGGAAGCTGGAAGATACACATTACCAGTGGCGGGCCGGGACGACGTCGGGGTGGTGTGGTGTATACCTTTTTCTCCGTTCCCCGCTGGAAAAAACGAAACATGTATACACCAGGATCCCGTATACACCAGGATCCGCTTTCCTGCGCAAGTGTCAATGCAGGGCCGGAAACAGCGTCAGTGCCCTATACGCTGGGGGTGACGAAAAGGGCCCCAAATGGACCCTTTAGGGCCCCCTTTGGGCCCATGCTGGCTCCAAAGAGGCCCTAAAGGCCCCCTTTAGGGGTCTTTCCTCGACCCCCCACGTACTGTAGGTACCCCCCGTTACCACTCGCCCGAGGAATATCCTTAGAAGGCTTCTTAGAAGGGGGAGGGTAGGGGGATGGCGGCCTGGCGGGAGGGAGGGAGGGAGGGAGGGAGGAGGAGGAGAAAGAGGAGGAGGAGGAGGAGGAGGAGCAGGAGGAGGAGGAGGGGGGGAGGGGAGGAGGAAGAGGAGCAGTGAGGGAGAAGGAAGGAGGAGGAGGACGAGAAGGTAGGAGATGGTAGGAGGAGGGAGCGAGAGGGAGGGGGTTGAAGGGGGGAGAGGGGGTGAGGGCATACTGCAGGATAGCCGGCTCCACCGGCGGCCTGGCGGAGTACTCGGCCAATTGCATGGCGCTGCTGAAGACCGCAGCGCTGCAGTGCGCGCTGACGCTGTGCGGCTCGCTGCAGCAGTGGGACGAGGGCGGCCAGCCCGCGAGCGAGGCTCGAGGGAGAGAGAAAGCCGAGCTCCGCTCGGGCTTCTTGGATCGGCGCTAGCCTCCTCGTCCCAGGGGCAACGAAAGGAAGAGATGGGCACAGGGGGGGACGCATCGACCCCCAATCGCCCATTGATCGCCGACAGGGGCCCGATAGCCCCGCCCCCCCCAGGAAGGTGCGGATCCACTATCGGGGGCCCATCGGCGATGTATCGACGAGTCAAGGTGGATGTGTCCCCCCCCTGCCAGTCCCCCCTTATTGTTGCCCCTCAGAGAAGGCCGAGCTCCGCGCGGGTTTCTTGGATCAGTGCTGGTCTCCTTGACGCGCTCTGTGCGGCGCCGCATGCACTGCCAGCGGGGTCCAGCGCCCATCCAAGAAATCCGCGCGGACCTCCGAAAATTTGTACTGCCGCCGTTTTTGTTTTCCCCGTGTGAGGTGGCGGTCGACGTGGCGGTCGACCTGGCCGACAGCGACAAGGCCGAGGAGGTCGCCATTGATTCCTTGACGAACATGAGCTTGATGCTCGAGCACCTGTCGCGGACGCGCACGGGCACGGACGGCACCCGCCGCTCCATCGCGATGGTTGCCACGGTCAGGGAGTGCATACAGAGGCCCGCCCGGCTCCCCCTCCCCCGTCCCTCCCCTGAGATCTTGGCGTTGCATGTTTGTCACACCAGCCATTCTCGCGTTGTTTCGGGCCAGGGGACCTTCACACATCGATCTGATCAGAAAACTGCCGCAGGAAGATATGGGGTCTGGGGCTCCGGTCGCGATTCTCGGTTGCACTCGTGCCTGATGTCGGAGCTCGGGCTCCTCCTCCCCCAGCCCCCGACGTTGTGGTTGCTCGCAGCGTGGGCACAGGAGGTCTCGACCCCTTCCTTGCGACCCGCTGCTCGTCACGAGTCGTTTTTCGGCGGCCCCGCGGCCCCGGGGACCGAAGACCCGAAGGGTTGCGTGATCGTTCGCTGCACCAGTGGAGAGCACGCTGCTTCGCATGAGTTTGATGCCGATGACTGGAAGACGAATTGGATCCGTCCGTGGATCCGTCCTGTGTGCTGACGAAGACGCCACGATGCGTCTTTTGTGGTAGTGGGCCAGTTTAATGATGATGTCAACCCTGGTGAGCTACACTGTCAATGCCTCGCTCTCCTGGGGCTTGGCTGTGTTCCTGCTTGTTAACATGTGTCACGTGTGCGGAGCTACACTGGCAACGCCGCGCTTTCCCGTGGCTTTGCTGCGCTCCTGCTCGCAACGCACACCGCCAGAGGCGGCGGAGAGCTTGAGAGGCCCACCCACCAAAAGTGCCCACCCCGCCCCGTCTCCAGGGACCTCGCATCCCCCTTGCGATGGCGCGATGGGGAGGCGGCCCGCCGCCCCCCCCCGCGCCGCACGTGCTGCCCAGGGGGTCCGGGTGCCTCCCCCCGTCCCCCCCCTATCCTCCTCCCCTCCTTCCCGCGTCCGCCCTCCTCCTGCCCGCTCGCCCTTCCCGCGTCTCCCCCTCTTGGGCAACAAAACATAGAAGCAATAAAACATCTTCTGCAACTTGTTTATGAAAGAAAATCTTGAGCAGGCCAGGGGGCGAACGGATGCACCTGCAGCGTCAATGGTGCCTGCTCAACGCGGACGGGCAAGACAGGCGTCTCGAGTTCGACCACGAGCACGGACGAGAGCAGACAGGCGGCCAGGAGGGGCTGGCACGGCGCATTTCGACCTGGCCTCTCCGTCTGAGCCGAGTCGTTCTTTGGTTTGGAATTCTGGGGTCAGAGAGCGGCTTGGCTGGATCATCCGTTACAGAAATTCATGGTAACACTCTGGACGAACCAATCGCTCTGTACGGGGACGGGCATCTCCCCCCTCCACCTCTCCCCCCCCCCCTGCCCAGTCGGGCGAGAGCCCCACGCCCCCCCCCCAGGACACTCCACAGCTCCACACCCTCAGGAACGAACGAAGGACGTACACGTGCATGAGTCCACCCACGTTGGCTCCGAGAATACGCATTCCGCTCACGTTCCTATCATGCAGCTGGTCTCGCGGTCTGGGGGGGGGGGGGGGCGTGTATGTACGTGGTTGGGCGCGTACGTCCTTTGTGGGCTCCCCATACCCCGCCACCCCTTCTCCGTTCGTCCTCCCCTTTCCCACGAGTGCCGTGTCCCCTTGGCCTTCCCCGATGGCGAAGCTGCATCCACCCCCACGAGACGGATGGGCGAGTAGGGCCAGAAGCGAGGGGGGACGAGGGGTGAGATTTCTTGGGGCCTATAGTGGAAACCTTAAGGGTAAGGGGTGTTACCGGGAGGGGGCTTGGGTTGCCTGGAACGGCTTTCGAGGGTCTCTCGGCAACATGTTGTGGGTCTCGTGGGCAGTCTTGGAGGAGCCTCGGACCCCGAGGCTCTTTCGAGTTCCCCCTGCCCTGAGGCCCTCCTGGGGGCCTCTTGGGCCGGTGTGGGACACTTTTAGGGGCCTCTCGGGCCGTTCTCGAGAATCGCTCCAGAGCGCCCCATGCCGCTCCCGGAGCGCTCCGGGACGCTCCAAAACGGTTGCGGCGACAGATACGTTATCCAAGCCCGACAGATCTTAGAGTCTTGATGATATCTCTGCCCGATTCTTCGGGGGCAGCGTCAAAGGGGGGACGCACCGACCCCCAATCGCCCACTGATCGCTGGTAAGAGCCCCACCCAGGACCATGCGGATTCGCTATCGGGAGCCTATCGCCGATCTATCGGCGATGAAGCGCCGATTCCAGGTCGATGTTTCCTCCCCGGAGCCAGTCCCCGGTGGTTTTCGGGCCATAGCTCGGGCCTCCAGCGGCCGTGCGGGACCATCGGGATACCCCCAGAGCGCTCTCGGCGAGACGCAGCTGCTGGAGAGCACCCCGAGGTTGGAAATTGGAAAACGGACGAGATCCGACGAAAGCGCCCAGAAACCTCAAACCTCGAGCACCCCCTCCTCCTTCCCTGAGTGAGTCCCCCCTTCACGTTCCCCCCCACACTTTGCTTTTCTCCTGGCATCGTATCACGTGGCCGTCCCCTGGCTGCGCCTCCGCCCCCGAGAGGTCGGCCGCGCACTCCGTGCAGCTGCGAGGCCTCTTCGAGGACCTGTGCGAGACTCTGCCGCCGGGAGGCTCCCGGGAGGCGCCGGCCTCAGCGCAGCCCGCGCCCAGCCGCTGTTTCGCCTCCTGCTCCTCCTCTCCTCCTCCTGCTCCTCACATTCGTCCTTCTCCTCCTCATCATCATCCTCCTCTTTCTCCTCCTCCTCCTCCTCCTCCTCCCCCTCCTCCTCGTCCCCCTCCTCCTCGTCCTTTTCGCCCTCCTCCTCCTCCTCCTCCTCCTCCTCCCCCTCAGCCGTTTCGGCTCGAGCTACTTGGTGTGAAGCTAGAGCTTGTGTCCGCGTACTTCGAAACGGTGCGTGGGCACGAACCAATTTTATGCACGACGGAGAGCGGCGAGGCCGCATACATGATAGCCAATGGTTTTCAGAAGCAACGCTTGCGGAATGTGCAGCAGTGGCTCTGCAAGTGGTGCACTCATCCCATGTCTGGCGAGGGTTGGTGGAACCATGCGTAGAGGAAGGAGTGCGGGTCTTGCGGTCATCCCAAAGGCCTCACTTTCTTCGGACCTAGGGAGAGGCCAGCAGGCAGCGCCCCGTCGGTCTCAGCTAAGCAGAAGGTCGGGCTTGAGCGCAAGGCTGCCGCGGAGGCGGGGCGCGCTACCAAGTCCGCCTTCCAGGAGAATGACCGAGAGATTGTCAAGCTCGAGGAGCTGCTGGCAGCGAAGCAGGGGGTACATTGGGCATGGACGAGGTGGTCGAGCCAGATGCCCAGGAGGCGCTGGCTGAAGGACCCTGTGCTGGCACGTCACAAGCAGGGGATCGTCCAGCAGCAGGCCACGCTCCGCGCCAATGTGTTGGCCGACAAGCCGACCGGGACCAAGCTCCATTGCTCACCAACCAGTGCTCCACGCTTGATAATAATATTAATTATAAGAAGAAGGAGCGCCAGCAGGCTGCCGTCACCAAGCTCAAGGAGAAGCTGGCGGACATCCAGAAGCAGGTCGAGGATGCTGAGGCCGCCGTGGTCGAGACCGCCAAAGAGCTGCTGGAGGCAGAGGCTGCACGGGGCACGGTGGCCACGCAGGCTCAGCCAGAGCCTGGAGTCCATTCGCTGCGTGCGGCGATCCCGTGCATTGACATGGACGTTGGTGACCTGGGCAAGCTCCCTGCTGGGCTCGGCGCCGACGGCGGCCTGGCCAAGAGCGCGGCCGAGAACTTTGAGGAGCTGCGCAGACTGGAGCTGCAGAGCGCGCCGCAGCTAAGCATGCTGCAAGAGGTGCCGCCTCAGCCATCGCTGCCGCCTCAGCAGCTGGGGGCGCAGCCCAGCCGCCTCAGTCGCCCTGGCAACCTCCGCCAGCAGGTAGCGAACGTGCTGTGCCAAAACCAATGGCCCAGCCTCGCGTTCAGCCTGCTGGCGATGATGATCTACCTGTTACACGGCTTCTGGAAGGAGGCTTTCGGCGGCGACCCGCCCGCGGACGACGCGCAGCTCCGCGCGGCCATCGTGAGGCTCGGGGGGGGGGGGGGGGCTCTCAGCCCGTGCCAGAAGAAGGCAAGAACGGAAGTGTAGTTCGTTTTTAGTTTCAGCATTGTGTTTGTGATTGCGCCAGCGCCAGTCTCAGCAAGCACCGTCAATATCAGGCTGCCAGACTACGCGTCTCCATGGACTGGGTCTTTCCAGCAGTCTGTGCCGTCCGCCCATGATGGGGATGGCGTCTCGTCCAGACATGTTGCTCGATGCGATCGCGAAGCGCCCGAAGGTTCGGGGGCGTCGCGGATGCGTCGGGGGAGGGGCGAGCACCACCTGCGCGACACAGGCGCCCACTTCACCTCGCTGGGGAGTCAGAGCGCCATCCTGGCGGATGTGCCCAAAGTTGAAGGGGCGGACTTGGAGGGACCATTTCGAGTAAATGTGTTTCACGTATGGCCACTTTCTTCGGCTCAAGGAGCTCCATGAGATAGCTGCTGATACTGCGAGGCCGCAACCCTTTTCATTCAACGCGCTGGCGACTGCCTTGGCGATTGGGGGAATATTGGGGAGATGCATTAGCGCTCGGGGACGCGGCTGTTGTGCGGCGCGGACTCGTGGGGCAAGTTGCCGCTTATCTCCGTGAGCGACATCAGGTCAGCGGCTGCCTCGTTCCCGACCAAGACGGCGCTGGGCCAGCTCGCGTTCAACCTGCAGTCGCCGTGCCAGGTATCCGACGTGGACTTCGAGGCCCTTGCGCCCGTCTTCATGACATGTGAGAGGCTGCACTCGCGGCCACCTGATCGCATTCAGACCCGCCTGGTTCGGCTTGGCAAGCGGGCAAGCAGGCGCCGTCTCATTGCGCTAGTCAAGTCGCTTTTGCGCTCGCGGGGCAGGCCCAGGAAGCCTGTCTCGCAGTCGCGGGGGCGATCGCGCCGCCACAAGGCCTTTTGGGGCCGCGGCCCTGGCGCGAGCTCCTCGGGCGCCGCCCTCGATCGCAACGCGGGGGCGGAGGTGGCGACGTCGGCGGGGGGGATGCTCCGTCAGCGTTTTTTTTTGTTTGGAAAAATGAAAAAAATGTTTAAATGCTACGAGTGCAACGGAGGCGCGCGAGCTAGAACATCCCTTGAGAATGCTTTGGGTGCTCCTCTCGTCGCGTCGGTGTCTTCGTCTGGTGCAGGCCCGCGGTTCGGCGTCTCGGCCCGTCGTCTGTCGCCGAGGGATATTAGCTTGCCGCAGCCGCGGCAGCGCCGCGACGCATCTTTTGCCGCGCCGCGAGGTCAGCAATATGAGCAGGAAATTTACATGACTGTGCAGCCGCGCCTTCTCCTGGACGATTCTGGTTTCCAGTGGGTAGGCAAGCGATTTAGCGAGCGCAGCGCGCTTCTGGCCGCGGTGCGTTGGCACTGCGAGCATTTTTTTTTTTTTTTTTTTTTTTTTTTTTTTTTTTTTTTTTTAAAAAAAAAAAAAAAAAAGTCGGGCTGGTCCTGCAAGCGCTCAAGAGTGGACGCGTGGCCGCCGCTGCCAGAGCGTCGTCGAGAGTGTCGCCGTCTGCTCGCACCCCCAAACTGCGCAGCTGCACCCGCGCGCGCAATCTAGGCCGCGAAGTTCCCCATGGAAGACCCGAGCGGGCCCGGGAGAGCGCCGGGCTGCAGGGGGCCATGCGCCGGCGCCCCAACCTTGCTGCGCTGCGCCGCGGGGCCCCAGGGATGGCGCAGATGCTCTGGAGGACTGGCCCGATGCCGGCAGCAGGCCGCGGTGCGAGCGGGAATGGGCTGAAATACCCATTTTTGAAGTCGTTTCGCGTTCTAGCAGGAGCGCCTGTAGACGCGCGCTGGTCGGGATCGCTCACAGCTTGGCTAGCGACTCAACCCGACCCCTTTTCGGCCCTGTCCACGATGTCACCGCGCCCCTCGTGCAGCGCCGCGCAGGCATGACTCGGGAAGCGAGGTTCCTGCTGGGGCGACTGCAGCGCGCGTGGATGCGCATCAGAGATAGGATCGCACAGCGACCTACTTGGAATTCATGCCGCGGAACGATCGGTGCCGCCCTCTCGTCGCTGAAACTGGTCGGTTGGTCAATGTCCACGGCGAACGTTATTATTTCAGACGAGGCGTCGCCTTCGACGCGCTCCGCTGTTCGCCGCGCGATCTAGAGCTAGAGCTGCAGTTCGGGCCCCAGCGCTGGCAGGCCAAGTGCATCTGAAGCATGTGCCCCAAGCCTCAGGCGCCGAGCGCGCGTGGATGCGCGGCTCGAGGCACGGCGCCTTAAAGATCAAGGATGGTGCTAGGAGGGGCGCCCTCCGATGTCTTATCTGGCACGCCATGCGGCCGCCGCATCGTATGTTTGAGGGTGGACATGCCGACGGCGACGCGCGCGCGTTCCACGATGGAAATCTCGTCGGCTCTCTTGACCACCATATGCACGATTGCGATCCTGCGCTGAACTACCCAGGGACGCAAGATTAAGCCATGCACTGGGACACCCTCGAGGTTCTCCATGGGCCCCCGCTGGAGGACATCCCCCTCCCCTTTCCCGACGCGCTCCCTGTCTGCTCCTGGGGGGCAACCGAAGCGCCCTAGGCGCGGGCCGTCTTCGCCGACGGTTCGGGACTGGTCAGCTCCAGTCCCGTCCCGAACTGGGAAGGCGCGGTTGGTCCGCCCTCGAGTGGGACCCCAGCGGGCTCCCAGTGCGCGCTGTTTTCGGTGCCCTCCCTGGGCGGCGCCAGTCGGTGCCTCGGGCCGGGCGGTCCGGGATCTTCACGGCGCTTCAGGTTGGCCCCTTGGGCGCCCATGCGTGTTCTTTTCTTCTTTTTTTGACCACCTCAGCGTTGTGCGCGAAGGCTCCTCGGGGAGCCTCGACTTGGCCTCGAGTGGCTCGATGCGCGCGAAGGCGCGGCGAATGATTTCCGGCTTGCATGGCGATGGCGACCCGACCCCTACCTTCGAGCGGCCCCCCGCCCGCCGCGCCTGGGACGGCGTCGTTGCCGCTGACGCGCCGATTAATATAATGAAGTGCCGAGGTAATGCTTGGGCCAGCAGCTTCGCTAAGCTAGGCTCTGAATCCCATGTTGCCAGCGACGCTGTTGTGACATGGATGGCTGGAAGACTTGAGCATCATGAGATCGCATGTGATTTCTTGGCGAGCTTTTGGCAGGCCATCGCGGGCCCGGCCCAGGAGCTCTCGCCCCCTCCTGCCGCGCCCGCGCGGCCGACCCCAAGCAGGCAGAGTAAGAACACCCTGGCATCCCTGCGCTCTGTGAGTGGCGCTGCAGTGCGTGCGACCTCTCTGCTAAAACACTTGCGCCCCTTGCCCAGCTGTAGACAGGTACCGGGAGCGCGCGTGGGCCTTCGGCTTTGCAGAGGTGGAAAGCGATTGCGAATTTTTGCCGACCGATAACATGAGAGAGGTTTCCTGTGTCTTCGGGGGCGGTGCCTGTGGCCTTGGAGGCTCTTGACGGGGTCCTGGGGCCTGAGTTGGGCGACGGCCAGGCGCCGCCCTCGGCTGTGTTTCAAGAGCGCTTCGCTTCCCTAGGCCATGAGATGGAGCAGTGTGGTCGTGTGTTGTTCTGTACCCTGTGCTCAGCTTTCACGATTTTGCCTCAGAGGATCTGCGAGGTTTTGGCGACATATGCAAAGGCCGTTCAGAACACCCGTCAACCCGAAGCTCCCAAGCCACCACAATTGAATATGCGGCTCGGTGGTTCCATCCCAAGACGGGCAAGTCTCTTGACCCGATCTGATTTTTGTTGGGGAGGGGGTCTTGTCGTGTCCCACGGCACACACCTCTGCAAAGCCGCGCCGTGGGGCGGAAAACATCAGATGGGCCCCCCTCCAACCTCCATGCTGCGCGTGCCGCCCCAGGCCGCGCGAGAGCGGCGACAGCTTCGGCGGCGTGCTTAATTGTCGTCCTTAATGTAGCCTTGCGGTCCCGACCTGCGGTTCCGCCAGGCTGTCCGCCGCCGCCTCGTCCTCCCCTTCAGCGCGCCCTCCCATCGTGGTGTTTCTCCATCGTGGTGCTTCTCCGCCAGCCGTCTTGTCCCACGGTCACGCTGCACTGCCAGTGCTTCCTTTGTTTCAGACTCGGATTCTCGGCACCACGGCGCCACGCGCTCAGTTCCTGGCGGGACCGCGCCCCGGCGCGCATGCGAGCGTCAGTCCGTCTCATCTTCGCAGCCTTCCCCCGATTCCCCCCCGACCCGAACTCTGGAGAAGCAGGGTGGATAGTTCTGCACAGATACTGCGGAAACAGCAGCTGCAAAGCAGGGTGGACATCTGCATCATAAGTGGCTTGACATGCAGGGCTGAATATTATACTCGGCTCACGAAATCGCTCGAATTACGGCGGATCTGGAGTCGGGGCCTCCCTTCCTCGCGCCTTTCCCCCACCCCTCCCCCTCGGCATCACCCGAACACTGTTATACAATATGCGCGCCTGCCCCGCCCAGGGGCGACGCGTTCGTTCTGAAATCTTGTAGTGCATGCTCGGTGGCGGGCGCCTGGCCATACCGCCTGGATAAGGATATGCTGCAAGACGGTAGTGCCAGCGCCTCCAAGGGTGACGTATAGGACCGAGGTATACCATCGAGGTCAGTTCGGGGAGGGTGCCCTATTGTTCTTCGTGTTTGTTGGGCGCTTTTGTGCATCCTGGGGCAGGGTACCCTTGGATGTTCTGTGTGTTTTGACTGGCGGAGGTTCTCATGTTCTTGAAAATTGTTTTTGTCCTTGGTCCGGCCGTAGTGCTAGTATATCCTTAGCGTCCCACCCACCCTCCCCTGGGACGCCCCTCCCCCTCTCCCCAACCTGTCGCCTTTCTCCCTATTCTCGCCTCTCGCTCTCTCTGTCCGTTCGCCTCTCCCCCCACCCCGTCCCCTCACTGTCTCCCACCCTCCAGCCCTCCTTCTTGTCGTTTTTTTTTGTTCCTCTATATATATCTCTCTCTCTCTCTCTCTCTCTCCCTCTCTATTTGTTTATATACATGCTTCTTACGTGTGCTTCTCAATGTTTCTCTCTCCCATTTTCTTTCTTTCTCTCTCTCTCTCTCCTTTTCTCTCTCTGTCTCTCTCTCTCTCTCTCTCGCTCTGTGTATGTACTGAACCCTACGGCTTGATCGCATGATGGCGCGCGTCTTCGCAGCCTGATCTGCCAGCTGCCCCTACGCCCGTGGTGATCAATGGTCTGACCCGTGCAGCCGCGCGGCATTGTGCTTGCGATCGGCGCTGCGAGCAAGTGGTCACCCAGGCGCTAGTGCGATACCGCCAGCACGGGGCCTCCAGCGTGTACACTCTCACTGCCGGGAGTGGATCCAGAAGGTTCTCGGGCACGAGCTTTAGGAGACGCTCGTCGTTGTGCCGTTGCAGGAGAAGGGCGGTCAGTCCAGAGGACGGTTTCGAGATCGTGTGCGAGAGCATCGGTGCTGAGCTGTTCGCACACATAGACCCTTGTGTGGCCACAGGTCCTGAGCAGCTCGAGCAGTCCCTGGGCTGCAAGTCGAAGCCCTACAAGACCATGGCCACGAACTCAAAGTCAGGAGAGTTCTTTTATTTTTCCGGGGACAGAAGGTTCCTCATCAAGACGATAACAGCCCAGGAAGGGCTCTTGCTACATCGCATGCTGCCTGGCTACCAGGCCCACCTGCGCGGCAAGACCCGATCCCTGATCGTGCGGTACGCGGGCCTCTACAGGGTGCACCTCCCCGAGGTCGGGTGGCAGTATTTTTCTATTATGGCTTCCGTCTTCGACCCCGAGTTTCCAATCTTCCAGACTTACGATCTGAAGGGCTCTCTACATGGCCGCAGGCGGAAGGGGCGCGAGAGCGTGAGCAAGGACAGCGACTGGATCGGCGCCGGCGAGCCCATGCTGGTCACCCCCGCGGTGAGGTCCGAGCTGCTGGCGGCCCATGAGAGGGACACGCGGGGGGGACTCGGAGACCACCTGGCACACCGGCCCTCCCTAGCGCTCCCCCTCCTGGCTCTCCTTCCCCCGAGTGTTGGGATGCAGCTCCCGGGAGATTCCGTTCAGCATCGGCTCTGGTATATCCGTGGTCGAAAATCAGCCTACTCCTGGGCTAAGTCTGGCCTAATCCGGCTAAATGAAACGGCAGTCTTGCTTCATAGCCTTTGATTTCTCTTTCGAAGACCTCCCATGAGCTGCCTCCTAACAAGTGCCCGACATTCCCGGGAGCGATGGACTTCGGCCGGTGGCAGCGCCACCGCGCAAAGTTTATACCAGCCCGCCGCAGGACGTTCGTTTCTTGATGTCTTTCGGCGTGATGGACTACTCCCTGCTGGCAGTTCAGGGCCCAAAGAAAAAGCACCACCGCCTCCCATGCATTCCATCGAAGAAGCAACTGCTTAAGTATGAACTTTTGGAGGCACGAGCGGATTTCTTGGATCGACGCTGGGCATCCCTGGCGGCGGCGCCCCAAGGGGGTTCAGCGCCGATCCAAGAAATCCTCGCGGAGCTTTGTGTTTATGCAGTTTTCTTTCCAGCTGCCTGCGGGAAGGCCTCCCACCGAGCCAGACCAGCATTTGCGGTGGCGACTGTGCGAGGGGGCACGGGAGACCGTCACGTGGCCGTCACGTGTGACATCTCGCGTCCCCAGGCTTGAGAGAGCCGTTGTGAGGATGAGAAGGATTATGCAGATGCTTGGGATGAGGATGAGCGTGAGGATGACGATGACGATGATGATGATACTGCTGCTGCTGATGCTGCTGCTGCTGATGATGATGATGATGATGGTAGTAGTGATGATGTTGATGTTGATGATGATGATGATGAGGAGGAGGACGAGGATGAGGATGATAATGAGGATGAGTACGAGGATGACGAAGAGGATGATGATGATGATGATGATGATGATGATGATGATGATGATGATGATGATGATGATAATGGTTATGATGTTCGTGGTGGTGATGATGAGGCTGACGACGATGACGGTGATGAGATGATGATGATTCTGATGATGATGATGACGATGGTGATGATGATGGTGATGACGATGATGGTGATGATGATGCTGATGATGGTGAATATGGGGAGGCAAAGGATAATGACCAGGATGAGGATGAGGATGACTACGCTGATGATGATAATGATGATGAGGAGGATGAGGAGGATGCTGATGAGGATGCGGATGAGGATGAGGATGGGAATGAGTATGAGGATAAGCATGAGGATCAGGATGATGATGATGCTGCTGATGATGATACTGCTGATGGTGATGATACTGAAGATGATGATGTTGACGACGACGATGCTGATGCTGATGATGATGGTGATGATGATGATGATGCTGATGATGATGATGATGATGATGATGATGATGATGATGATGATGATGATTAGGATTATGCCGATGGTGATGGCGATGGTGGTGGTGGTGGTCGTGGTGGTGGTGATGAGGGTGATACTGATGATGATGATGATGATGATGATGATGATGATGATGATGATAATGCTGGTGATGATGCTGATGGTTGTGATGATGATGACGATGCTGATGATGGTTATGATTATGATGTTGGTGATGATGATGCTGATGAGTATGACGATCATGCTGACGCTGCTGCTGATGATGATGATGATGATGATGATGATGATGATCTCCATGATGACGCTGATTATGTTTATGCTGCTGGTGATGATGATAATGATGACGAGGAGGGGAGGAGGAGGAGGTTGAAGAGGAAGGCCGTCACATGTGTTACCTTCCGTCTTCATTGTTTGAAGAGCTCTCGAGGAACTCGTTTGGGCCATGTTTGGGCTGTCTTGGCCTTCAGTGAGGCAGTCTTTGGGGGTCCCTTGAGGCCCCCTTGGGCCGTCTTGGGGGCCTCTTGGGCCGTCTTGTCTCTTCGGCAGTGTTGGGGCGATCTTTGCCGGATGGTGGGTGTCTGAGGGCCGCCGTGGTGCCGTCCTGGCGCCATCTTGGGCCGTCGAAAGGCCTTCCAAGGTTGTCTGGGGTCCTGTCGGAGGCACTCTTGGGCCGTCTTGGGGCCGTCTTGGGGCCGTCTTGGAGCCGCCTTGGGTGCCCCATGGCCCATGGGCCAACGTGGGATCCTCTGGGCCATCTTGCGGCACTCTTGGGGGCCTCTCGGGCCGTCTTGGCGCCATCGTGGAGGCTTCTTGGGCCGTCTTGCGCTGACGAAAGCCCGAAACGGCGAGATTGCACACATTGCTCCCGAACCTAAAGGGGAATCGGCGATTTGGGCTTCGCCGGGCCCTGTTAAAGGTCCTGTTGTGGCCCTTTTTTGGGCCTCCTTGGAGGCACCGTGGTCACTCTTGAGACCATACTCGGCCGATTTGGGGCCATACAGGGCAGTCTTCGAGGCATCGTGGGCAACCGAGGTGCGCGGATCCATCGTTTTTGGAAGGGGTCGTGGCCTCGGGAGCGCGAATCCAGTTTTTCCCCATCCCTCCTGCATTGGGCTCTCGTTTTGAATAGAGCGTTGGCGTGGCGCCTCCTTCTCCTCCCCACGCCTCCCTCCTCCTCTCTTCCTTTATGCCTCCTGCCAGTCTCAGGCTTGCCTGTTAGCTTGCCTCGCCATCCCTGTGGGCTGCGGAACTGTCGCCACTTTCGAGGGCCGCTGGGGGGCAGAGCGCAGACTCCAAAGTAGACATCGACATCC